CACAAGAAACCTAGCATACTGGTTATTTGGACCATTATTCATATGCATCCATTACCTGATCCCCTTGAGTGGCCTGAGCAAATAGGCCGGGGTTAGCGAGCCGCGTCGAGTATTGTGTTTTGTAGGTGGTTAGACAGATCGCTTGACGTGCGAAGGTAATTGGAGCCCATTGGCGGCTGAGGCTGCACGACGCGGAATAAGGAGTGGAAGAAGCAGTGGCGCCGGGGCGTAGGAAGGTGGCGATGTCCGTCGAATGTGGTGAGACAATGTTTAAAGAGGTGCGGGCAGGGGGGTGGGTGGACTCACGTCTCCGCTAGGGCATGGGTGGGGGCTGGCCATCCCCCCGGGAAATCTGTAAGCAACAGTACATCTGTAAGCAACTGCCAGCTAGGTCTCTCAGTCACTCACTCCGTATCGTTCACTGCGCAGTGACAGCTGCTACGGGCCTGATGTGTGAAAGTGAAACCCCTCCAGGGAGCGGCCGAAACACTTACCACGCACAGCACCGGCCCAACTCCCGGTATTCCCAAAGGCCAGTCCGCCCCTGCTTACACCTATATGGCGTGAGCTGATGATCGAGCCTTCATTGTAACAGTCGCAGGTACACAGTGTATGTGCGTGTGGGGAGTGTTGCAGTAGAACATTCCACTGTAGCGCTGGTACATTAATGGGAAACCCTAAATGTTTGAGCACCCTCTATGAAACGTCAAGCTACCCCACAGCACCCCCAAAAGAAAATCTCTGGTGCCGCCTCCAACCTCTAATTTATTAGAGTTAAGCCCTGTCAAGTTACGTTTATAAATGTTTTTTGTTTTTTTTGTACATGTTCAATACATTTGTAACACTGTACACATTAAAGTTTCTCTTTTTTGTTCACCCCCCCACCGCAAAAAAAAATCACTCCAAGCTGAACTCAAAGGTTGGTACCCCTGATAAAAGATAAGGCCAAGTACAACCAAACACTGACTTTTTTAAGTAACTAAAATATTTCAATTAACCGTCTTAAACTGAAAACTTACTGGGATATCGTTGTAAGACTGAAACACGGAGCACAACAGAAGCTAGCCACTTCCCTCCGCTTCCAGTCTTTGTGCTAAGCTAAGCTAAGCTAACCATGTTGTGGCTTTTACTCCATAGTCATTGTGAAGACATGACAGTAGAATCAGTCTGCGTATCTAAGTCATGGCAAGCATTTCACACGAGGCTAAGAATATTTTTCTGCTTAAGGATATTTATTTCTTGTTTTTTGTATTATGTAATTAATGTATTGATTTGACCATTATTTTATCCTGTTAAGAGTCAGTGAAGCATCTTATACTCATACGTATCTTTTGTCTTATTCCCCTTACATTCAAGTATAAACTCCAACCTGCACTTCAAAGTCGATCAAGTAAAGACAAACTGGCTTCTGACAATTACAGTACCTCATCATATTAAGAAAGTGCACCAACTTGCTTCCCCTCCTAGCTATATTCTGCCAAGCATTCATCTCAGTGATGTGAGGATGTGCAGCCTGTTGTGGAAATATCGGGCCACAATGAGGGGAATAACATATAAGTGTGGAAAGTGCTTGGAAGGGAGCCCGATGAAGATTCTAGTCAAATGTTTAATCTATCTGACAGCAACAAACTCCATTCCTTCGTGGAGTGACATGCCTCATCCTGCTCACAGTGTGCACACACCATACGAAAACACACACACAAATGATCAATCTCATCAATCATTTGCGTCCAAACTGGCTGCCTGGCAGAGTAATATACAGGACAGTGATTGAGTAGAGGGAGATTGTGATCTATTTCAAATATGTTTAGCTTGTAAGGCAAATTTCAACAAACATAAACGTACTGTATGTATGTGCACAGGTACAAACACACCTTTGTGGTCTTTTTCTCGCAGGTGTTGGTGAACAAAGAGTCACAGGCTCCTTGGTCTTTCGCCATGTTGATACCAGTGGTGCACATGTTATCTTCAAGCACTGTCACACAGCACTGCTCCTGCACTATCCTGTCAGCAAGAGAAAAAACACAAAACACAGATGGTGCATTTATTTCCAGCTCTGTAACTCCTTGGTGCAAAACAACTCTGCCTTAAAGTGCATCCCATTAAAATCAGCCTGAGGCAAGCCTGATGGGGATCTCAGAGTGGAAAATGTGTGGATAAATGGGTTCAGTAAGAACGCTGTGGATTAGGATTGTACGTCTTAGTGTCTTCCGCAATGCATACGTCTGTTAGGGGATCTTGCAGTGGGTCTTGTATCTGTCCACAGTTAATCTGGCATGAAACTGAATCTATCATCTTGATTAGCTTTGATGGAAATGCAGGACTGTGTGCATGCTGACCTCTCGTGATTGTGGGGATTCACTATTTATTTGACTGTTTTATACCGTCACTATTCACTTCTTTTAACAAGCCGTTAGGGATCGTAACTTACGTAAACAACTGCTTCTTTAGCAAAAAGCATCTTCCTAGGCTAAAATATCAAGACTATACCGAGTGTGTTGCAGTCCACATTTGTTGTTTATCTGAAATCCATCAAAAAGTTTGGTCTGATTGTCTGCAGATTCATTCTATACTCGATAATTTATATTCCAAGTTAGACACAATACAAGATAAATAGCCTATACATCAAAATGTTGTTGCCATCTTGACTGTGAGAGACATAAGGGACCATTTAAAGAGATTAAACTTTTCTTTGTTTGGAAAAGGAGCAGGAGACACACTTGGCAGGGACCTTTACTCTTTGAGCACTTTTCTAGTCCACTACTGACGTCATTGTATTCTAAACTGTTATGAGCAGCACTCTCAGTTAAAATCAACATTTCAGTCCCAGGATAGTGGCCACCTCCACATGTCCCTACGGATTGTAGTTTTTAGAGGAATTGATCTTATATATTATAATATCTTAAAAACAAACCACTCCCTTTGGATAAGCATGATGTGTTCTGTGAGAAACGTTGACTAACAGTTGCCAGTAGATACAGTTTGCTTTTGGTAAATGACATCAGCAGGGCAGAACCATTATTGAGAAACATGTTGTTACTGCAAATCCTCCTGGACATCCAACCTGATCTCAAATCTGATCTCGGTGCTTATGATGATCGTAAAGTTCATATCTCTGCAGGGCTTTAATAAAACACTGTATGACTATGATACCTGCGTCAAAAGCAACATCTGGATTAAGCACAGCTGCTCACACGAGACCACTATTATTAAAAATTAATGTATGTGTCAGTTTGATCAGATTTCATTGTATTGTTAGCAAGTGCTTTCCAATCAGTTAATACTCTGTCTGGAAATCTGTCTCACTATCACTACAACACAGAAGAAAAAAAAACGACTCCACTCTCGTTTCCGAATAGCCTCTTTATCTACTCTTACCAGAAATATTTTTTCCAAATAAACTACTACTGATCTCAAACTCACATCAAGGCACACACCCCGTCTGCCGAACCTTTTAAGGACACATTGGTGCTCTTGTTTTTCTTTTCTCTTCCATTATTTCTTTTTTTCCCCTGTGGTGTCTGAAGTAATCGTTCAGATTTCCTGTTATTGCCTCGCTCCATCCTCACTCCATGCTGCGTTTCACCTCTAAGGTATTTCCTGGGTATTGAAACAGCCCCTCTACTGACCCCCCCTCGCCTCTTTTCCACCCCGCACCCCCACAAACCTCTGCCCTTTCCTCTCTTTCCCTCACACACTATAATTTAGACTAATTTGGGATCACTTGGGGTGGCTACGGTAAATGTGTTTGCCATCAGTGTTCACAGCGGCAGATCTCCCCGGCTTATGGTCCCTGAACCTGTGGCAGCACACCCTCTAGGGTTACCAGCAGGCCTGTTATTATCCCATCACTATTACTGTTTCCTGCTCTCACGTGAAGTGAATAATGTGCTTGGAGATTTACAGGAGTAAGGTAAAGCAATCTCATATTAAAGGCCTTCAGACATCCCATTTATGGTACGGGCCAGATCCCTCGGGGCCAATACTGCATAAGCTTCTGTGGTGTTGATAGAAAATGTAAGATTGTGACAAATGGCGCTGCATTTAATGACTTGTAAATCTGAATAAGCCCCAGACTGGTCTCCCGAGCGCTCTATAAATCGTATGGTGTATAGATTTGCGGTCAGTGAGAGCAAAGTAGCGGATCGCTCCTGCTCACCTGCATGTGGTGGACTCGGAGATCAGAGGGAGGGCCGCACAATCTTCGTTATCGTTGCCCCGGCTCTGGCCATCTTTACAGCAGCCCTCTATGGACATCTGCTCTATTCCTTCAAACATTGAAAAAAGAACAAAAGGTGTGTGAACACAGGTAGGAGATGTGTGCACTTCCCGTTCACTATGCACTCTGAAGGGGACATTGCCGCATTGAGGGGACCCCCACCAACATAATCACTGCAGGAGATCGACCCCATATGGCACACTGCTGCCTCTGCTATTATCAAATCAGCCTAGGCATACTCACATGGTGTTGAACCCTCACCTATAGACTAGTTTTGTTCATGACAAAACAAAGTATAACAAATAAAACAGTCAAAGCATTGGTTAATGACATTATGGATTCTTGTTTTTGGCAAAAATATATATTGATGCAAGGTCATATAAGGAATATAAGGATTTTGAAATGTAACCATAATAAAAACCGATATTGCCACTGTCCTTCAGGGTGAGTTACCCTTTCTCCTCATAAAGATGGAAAAACTAAATTCAAAATATGTCAGGCAATTTTAATTATCCATAGGCCTGTTTTTTGCCAGGGCAAGGAATGATGGATATGTTGTTGCAGACACAAGAGAGGCTTTTTTTTTTTTTACTGGAGCAACACCAATTCTGTGGTTATCTGGCTGTTTATTCATGTGTATTAAAGAGCGTGGAATGCCTCGACTCTGTAAACAATCAGCCGTCCCAATCACATTCATTCGCCTGTGGTTTGTATGATCTGCCAAACGTGAAATAGTTATAGCTGATCGGCTCCTTTTACTTTGTTTTGCCTTCGGCTTAAACCAGGATAAGTGTGCCAAATTGATATAAAAAATAAGTCCTAGGAGATTGGAAAAAAGAAAACAAACTCACCATGAAATAAATTGTATCGACCCATTGTAATAGCATATGAGGTGTTGCTGGTTAGAGACACAATGCCCTGAATTTTGGGAAATAGTGATTGTGAAATGCACTGAACAAATCCATCTGTGTGAGGCACAGCGTCTGCCGTGAGCAGTCTGGCAAGAGTCAACAACTTCAGATAATAAGTTAAATTACGTTAGGAGGAGGAGGACAAGTGTCTGGAATAGCAGTCCTCGGTTTTATGGATATGCCTTCTCCCAGAGGGGCAGGAGGAATTTTATTATAACCAGTAAATCAAAGACGAAGCACAAACAGGAATAATCATCACAAACAGCATTGTTCATGTTTGTAACAACACAATTTGCAATCAAACTCAATTTCTCAGAATAGCTGGCAGGCTTCAACCCAGAACTAAGTAGGGGCAAGACACAACAATGACTAGGGTTCATTTTTTTTAAATCAACATATGGGTTATTTTCTGAAGAAATTGAGTCACTTCCCAATTGCAAGCTACAGGAATACAAAGCACAGCTTTATAACCATTGTGACCACTGCCACTACAAAAAGGATAATTAAGCTGGCAGAAAGGAGTGAATTTGGAAAGAGGATTTATTACTTGACTGCCACATTAGCTGACTCACTACTGACTTCTGGAAGTCTGGCATATCCTAGAATCCTGTAGCCAATAAACCTTGCAGCAGCTGGATGAAATGAGATGGCATTTTAAAAGCTTTTCACATCAGCTTACCAAGTGGGCCATCGCACATTCACTCTCTCTCTGTCTCTGTATGTTAGAAACCTCAATCTGCTTTCAGAGGAACACCAGGATGTTGCACTAGGACTAAAGCAAAAACATTTAGTTATAGGATAATATGGATTTTTTGTGCCATTGATGCCTAATACAGTTTAAAGGTGTTAAAGAATATATATTTCCATTGGTCACACTGCTCTGTACTAGAGGGTCCTCGCCACAGTAGCACTCTGCTGATAACTAACTCTAAACCACAAGGCATCAGGGAGTCATTCCAACGCAACCACGTTCTGCTGATCTTGCAAACCTAAATTGAAAGACCAGAAGTGTCTGTTTTATCAAAATAGGCCGAGATGCAGTCTGCCCCTGTGCTCTGTCTCTGTGATGCATTGTCTGTCTGCAGAGGGCTGATTTCCATCTTGGATGGGGGTGCTGGTTGTGAGGGCCACTCTGACTTGGCAGAGCAGCACATGGCTTGCCTGCGTCTAGACGCCTCATGTAAACAAGGCTTAATGATCGACTGGTGGAGCTCCGCCCAGGCAGAGTGGAGGGCCTTAGCAAGACATCAAAACAGAAGGGTGCATTTCCTTTACAGGCTGCACTACAGGCTTTTATTTTGGAGCCTCCTTCCAATCTTATTGATATAAGCACACTTACGAAGTTGATTTTTTCTACCTACCTAACTTCCAACCTACTTTCGCCTCCATCTGTGTATCTGTCTATCTTACACATGGTTACTTTTTGGAGTTTTGGTCGAGCTGATAGCTGACTGAATTTGACTCCAAACTGACCGTGAAACGACCCCCTTCTGAGACGGCATCTTGGGGAAAAGTGGCCCTGCTGACTGTGAAAGTTGCCCCATGTGTGACCAGGCAACCATGAGCATTAGGATCTGTATAAATCACCCTGCTGTGTCCAGACCACCCTGTCCCAGAGAGGCACTGGGTCGCTCTGACACCATCACAGCATACCAAGGCACCTGGCCTTTGACTTCCAGGGAAGAAATACAGAAACAAGGGCAGGGGGAACTAATAACTTCAGTTTAAAAGATATTATTTTAACACTCCTTGTGTTGTTACATCATCTTTAATCACTTTCATTCCAGGCTATAAACAAAATGAAAAACAAATGATAATGGCAGAGTGTACTTTATATTATATTTTCACTTAAGGTAAATATAGCCTCTGAAATGTTCCTTACACAATATAGTGTGCTGCAAGGGGTTTATAGCTACTAATATCACTACCTAGATTTTAAGTTGGGATGCAAAACTATGGAAACAGAAATCTTATCTAAGTATGAGTGGTTAAATGTTATGTTATGGCATAATGGGATACTATTTAATACAATAGGAGAAGTGCCACACTTTGAAGCACCCAGCTTTGTGGACTGTGCTTTCATCACATGCCCTGACTAGTCCTGTGGCAAATTCATCACCTCCCCGGATCTCACTATTGCCTCATTAACACTTTCATATCTTACTGTAAATACCTTCACACATGCATGTGAAAACTTATCTTGCAATATAAAACCCATCCACACCAGCATATGATACTCACACCGTTCTTTGGCACGGTTTGTGTTGTGTACACTTAGAAAGGGTCTTAGCAGAGTCATACAATAACTTACCTTGGCCAAGAAGAACTCCGAACAGAGAGCACAGCAGCACGACACGCGGACCCATTGAATGAAAGGAGATTTGACTCGAGGGTAAAAAGAACTCCGAAAGGCTGGTTATTGTGAAGGATGTGCAAAAACAGTAGCGCTCCTTCAAAAAGAGGAAGAGGGACTCCGCAGGACAGAAGTGGATGTGATGGAGCTGAGAGAGTCGCAGTTACAGCGTGAGTGCACGAGCGAGCGTCCAATTATGACACCGCGAGGGGCGGGCTGGGGCCACAGGCTGTCTTATTTCTATTTCTAAATCTTCTGTGAGATTTTGTGAGAAACCGTGATCTCATTTACTGAAGAGGGTTAGGGCCACATGTGTACACATTTATTTTAGAACTGACCAAAACTGAGATTAAAGTCAGAAAGTACGGAAGAGGATTAGGGCCCTGTGAAAAAAATATTTTGGGGATGTGAAAAATAAAAAAAATAAAAAAAAGTCAGAATTCTGACTTTTTTCTCCAAAAAAAACAAATATATATAAAAAAAATTATATTTTTGTGTGGCCATAATCCTCTCACGTAAGAAAGAAATCAGCATTTTGACTTTAAACAAAAGAATCTGAACATTTTCAGAAAAATACCTGATTGTTTTTTTATCCAGAATTGTTGTTCTTCTCATGTGGCCCTAATCCTCTTCCTTCCCTTACATTTACAATAAACTACATTACAAATATTTTGTCCAATATATATTTTACTTACACATAGGTTTTAACACTTAGAAGTTAATTTATACTGTAAGTTATTACTAGATTCGGACAGGAATGTTTGCACAAAAAGCTTATCCTTCTAAAAATGTTGTATATGATTGACACATTTATGTGTGTTGGAAAGTAGAAGACCTGAAATACTACCAAGGGAGATGTGGGCTGAAATATTTTTTATTGCCTTCAGGAGGAATTGCAAGTGACTTCAGGCTACTGTGCTGTAAGGTATGCATGCACACATGGAAATTGTCTTCCCATCAATGGCAAAGTAGACTTTTTCTGTCTGTGACTAATGATTGTGCTGATTACTCAACATCTGGAGCCGGTTTCGAGTTATTTAAAAAAAAATCTCTTGTGGCTATGTCCAGACTGCAAGCCTTGAAACCTTTTTGGATATCTTAGTAAAAGGAAATAGGGGGAATAAAGAAATAATAGATTGTCACTGCCTCTGTCTGCACATATCTATTTATTCACTTCTACATTTTCAGTTCACTGCACCTTAAAGAGGATGATAAATCAAACTGGCTTTGTGCTGTTTCATACTCCATTATATTTAAATACTTATTGATGATGTATCTGCGTTCTGCACAGAGGTATTAAAGGTCTCTCGTCCAAGCTGATCCTATTTTCTCTTCACCGAAGTTCACAGCCATACCAAACAAAAGGAAGCATTTTCCTTAAAGTTAATGAATTGAAGCTTTTGTATCAGTTCCACATAATGTGGGCAAACCGTCAGCCAATGTGATCATCAACTGTGAAAGGAAGCCACACTTGCCTGCACACTAACACACACAAGTCTACAGGATTTGGCAAGGAGCGGAGAAATAATTGCTAGACTGCATTATAAACATTTTGTACCAACTAAAGCCCTCTGCAAATTCAATCAGTCTACTGATTCTGGGCATGGTGACAGCGAGAGGTTAAATGATCTTCTAATCAGAGCCACATGTCTCCACCACCAGTCTAGCCAGTCTAGAAACATCACCCAAGACTTGATACCAGGCATACAGGAAAGGCCACAAGTATATGGCACTAATAAAAGGGTAACTGCACTGTGTCAAAGTAAATTGAGTCTCAATCTCTGCTCAAAACATTCTAATCTGAATGATTTAAGTTTAAATATGTTATTTTTCTTTCTTATTTGGAAGATATCGCTGTCTTCGTAATTATTAATATCCAGGATGTATTTCCACTTGAAATAAATCCCACTGTTGGGTGGAAGTGAGCTTGCCCAGAACTTGAGGGAGAAATCCGTCTGTCGTTTACTTTACATTTGCATTGTAAAGCAAATACCATAGTTTTTATATCTCCACACTTATAATTCCACAGTATGTGATTTACTCCTGAAAAACAACAGCAGACATGGTGTTTCATGGATTGGAGTAGCAGTTTTTTTGCATGTTTATGTTACACACTTAGCAGGACGATATAAAAACAGTGTTTGGATGTGTAGGAAAATACTGTTCACAAATCAAACCGGAGAAAGTCATGTCAAGTATTGTAAGTAAAACATGCACAAACACTTGCATGGTCCTAGAACTGTGCCCTATGTTAAAGGTAGACGTTTGCTGTAGCAGCACAGATACCACTCCTCTGGGCATTTATCAGTAACGGATGTGGCACCCCCCCTTCCTCTTCTCTATGATGTAACAGTTGCATCACAGAGTGCATCACAAGGCACTCCTTTACTGCTGTCCCTAATCTTATTTTAGCCTGAGTGTATGGAGGTGATAGATAATAGACCGTTAGAGTTCATGTAATGAATGCAGAAAGCCCTAAATAAGACCCATAACAGCGTTGAGCTTGAAACCTGGCTGGATAAATCACTGTGAATAACTGAGGGCAACTTCCAGAAACTACCATCTCCAATCTACATTTGGGTTTTAACAAAAAACAGCAGCGTGAGATGACCTCTTAGCTCATAGGTGGAGGAAATTGGAATGGCATTCAAACAGTGTTAATCTTGTTGTGGGGGGTGCAGTACAGTTCCTTTGAAGCTCATCCAAGCTTGTCCTGCCACGTCTGTGTCAATCAGCCGAGGGCCACTAACACAGCGAGGCAGCCAGGGGCCGGCCCTGTGGGGCCCAAAGGACCGGGTGCTGTTAGTCAACACAACTGTAGGAACTTGTTAAGGAGGAAGCGGCATTGCTTAACTTTAAAGTGTGTTGGATTAAGAGGAATGATACATGTCTGGTTTTAAAGTAGGACATTAATACACTTCATTAACATGCATTTATAGAGCCGAGGAGGTTTATGTGGTACATTTTTGATTACCCTTAATCATACTCAGACGTAAGCTAACATGCTTTTATTTTACCCTGTAAACATCTGCAAGATTAGTTGCATGAAAGTAGGTTTGTTACTTAATCCTGTGGTGTGGAAAGAAATGTTAATGAATTAAAATGATCTTTTATCTTACATTTGCCATAACCCTTATTTAAAATAAACATAAATAGATGAGAAAATAACATCTATTTAGACAAAGCAGAAATATTGTGTAACAATTTGCCAATGTAAATCGTTTTGGGTTTTATCAAACAGCTTTGACTCCATTGTTTTTCTTGACTGGCCTCGTAACACATTTTATTCCACATATGAAAAAACATCAAAGCTGCATGATTATCATCCTTCCACTGAACACTGCTGTATTTACACATGGAGAGCTGAACAGGAAAAACACTCCAGACCTGACCACAGTGTGTAAGCTCAGAGCTAATGAATGCATTTAACTTCAGTAAATTGATGACTTGATCTCGTAATTTAACCAAAACAAGACTGAATAGCTGGTTCCGCTTTACCCTGTAAACACCCAAATGTTCTGCATGTATGTACATTTTGCATAAATCTTATTATTTATGCCTGTAGTAATATATAGCAGTCATGTCTTTGAATTCAGTGTGAATGCAACATTTGCCATGCAGCTTGGTCCAGAAAATCTAAGGAAAAAGAAAAGGAAGGACAAATGTGTTGTGGCCTGAAGATGATTGTGTATCAAGTTCAAGTATAAAGTTGAACACACCAAATATTAGCTGGTGCTGGCAGTGTTTTCGAACGTTTCAAAATATGTCTTTCTTTCATACTTCTCCCCCCTCTCCACTGGGACAGATCGGTGTATCCTGGGAGTCTGGACATGGATCCTTTGCATGCTGGGATTTGTGGTCAAAAGATGAGAAAAGAGAGTCAGGAGGAGCAGAAGGCATCATCTCCTTTTTGATTTCTGGAAAGGTCTGGTCAGGGAAGATGCTCTTCAGGTATTCCTCAAACTGCTCTTTAAGCTTTCCGCCCAGCTTCCTGCCCTCTGCGTCCACCTGCCATGCAAGTAGAAGTATATTAGCAGGTGAGGGGAACTACAAATATATTTTTGACAACTATTTCCACAGTACCTGATTGAGGACAAGCCTGATGTCTGACACAAACTCTGCAGGGCTTTTGTAGCACAGACTCTGCTTTGCTTCAAGTCGTTTTCTCAGAGCGGAAAGATGAATCGGTCCCTTTGTAGTCACCCTGTTATTAGCACATACCTACAGTATTTAGAAAGGGAGAGATAATAAAACAATAAAACTTCATGGGAAGATCTAAACACATGAGTAATATCTCGTATAAACTATTACATGCCTTGATCGTGCACAATAGGTAAGGGATTTTTAACACATTGTGTCATGCAGATCGAGGTAGTTCAAGGCAAAAAGGTGCACTGCATTAAGAATAACAATTACTACAAACTCTGTGTCAGCAGGACAAATTCCTGTATATTTATAAAACTGATTAAAAGTTGCATAATGTCTCTTAATACTATTTACTCATAAATACTGCATTTTACACCTCATTAGAATTACAGTCACAGTAACTCTGTGTGACATTAATCCTGTGAACCTTTGCCCGTAGTCAGCAAAGCTTCCAGACTCACCGGGGGGGATACAGGGCCTTGAAGGTCTGAACTCAGCTTGCTGCAAAGCAAGTGCAGCAACAGCCTCTCACACTTCTGCAGTGGTGGAAAAAAGACAATTGACTTAATGTACAACTGATAAAGAATATACAATTCAGCGATCTATATAGTGTATTGCATTTGAATACGTTTAACATGACCAGGATTGCTTCTCAGAACCATACTTGCCAACCCTCCCGATTTTCGCGGGAGACTCCCGATTTCATTGCCCTCTCCCGGTTTCCTCCTGGGGTCATATTTCTCCCGCATTTCTCCCGATTTCTGACAAAATCAGATTTACTCACGACTTTTTCCACTCTGACTTTAATACAGCTACACCATTGTTTGGTTTCCATGGTAGCGCGTCTCTTTAGTAGCGCGCATAACTGAAAGTCTGAGAGGGTGAGGCAGATAGTCACAGAAAACTGAACAAGAATCGACAAATCGACCCTCTGCTCACTCCTTTCCTGTAAAATACAGGTCCAGCCCACACATATGGTGCTACAGTTGCACTTACAACTACAATAAGCATGTTAATGTTAATCTAAAGCTCCGGCGATCCACTACCACCCCCCACCCCGGTTTTGAAATGCTCCCGATTTCTGAGGTCTCAAGGTTGGCAAGTATGCTCAGAACGTATCTGATGCTGATCTACTTTAAGTCTAACACCAATTTATAGCTGTTCTAATTAAAAATAAAAACACATCCACGAAAACACACTGCGTCCGGCAACATATTGTTTTTTTATATGCCTCAAACTATTTTAAGACCCTCCATTTTAAACAGAATTGCACAAATGTAATACATTTGAGATTTGTTACAATACTACTATCAATTAATAATGTTCTTGGACTACATCAAACAGCTGGTCAACAGTAAAAACTAATATGGTTGCTGGGCAAACAGTGCTACTCAGTTTCACTCTCTCACAACCTTAAAACTTGAAAGGTGGTTTGTAGCTTTGTACCTAATGGCGCCTGCTAGCTGTGGAAAGCTTTGTTCGGTAGCTTACAAATGTTTGCAACAGTAGCAGTGCTTTTACCGTTAATAACAACATAGAAAGATATGATGCATACTGTAGAAAATAAAGCCACTTTCTTCATCCATATGCTACTGTCCATTTGCCGTGCTTTGTGTAAAAAACACCTGCTTCTGTTTGGGAGAATTGTAAAATAATGTGCCCTGTGTTCAAATGTACACCAATTAATAAGGAATTTGTTGGGCTAGCCAATGAGTGAGCTAGGATTATGAGTGATTCCGTCCAATGAAGCAACAGGAGGGGGGCGCTGTAACGATGCAGCTATCCTGAATGCACATAGTAAGGTGGGGATAGAGACAGAATTTGAACATTTAGCAATGTTTTGGAAAATATGACTAAGAATGAAACAACAAACTTCCAAATAAATACGAAAATGGTGACTTGAAAACTTTCCGAAAGAAAAATAATTGAGCACTGACTCGTTTGTCCACAGGGTGAAATCCTCCTTCAGAATCTGGCTCCTTCTTCACTGTTTTGGCTTCAGGTTCGCAGTCATAATCCATCTCTGGCACTAACAGATCACGGCAGAATGAGCAAAACCATTTCCCACTGAAAAGAGACAGTCCAGAGACTCAACACAACAAGCCAGTAAGGGAACATACTACACCAAGTGCATAATGCTGCTCTCAGATGAAAACCTCACACCGAAAACAGTCTCTTTCTTAAAGCTAAAGCGTTCTTATTTGTATAAACACCAAAATCAAAAGAAGGGGTTTTCGTCTGAGACCATGAATACATTAATATCCGCAGTCAGAGCTTGCCTGGGAGATTTGAGGAGAGTTGGAACATGGCAGGAAAGGTGAAACCTCCTGGGACACTGATCACAGTTCAGCAGCTCTCCGCCTGTCCCACACGCAGCACACAGGACCTCTTTAGAGTCCTCCAGTGGGGCTTGGTCTACCTGCTGTTCTCCTCCCAGGATACGGATGTGATTTTGAGCATTAGTCTTACTCTGGTCCCACGGGCTGCTTGGAGGCTCTGAAGGACTATGGGGTTTGTCACCTGTGCTTTGAAGAGGAGCACTGATTGGGGGTTGGTCACCTGTGCTGTCAGGAAGGCTGGCTCTTTGATGGGCTTTGAGCTGAAATCCACAAACAGAGAACAAAACACTTAACCTTGGTCTATAGTAAGGCCACAGACCATTTTATATTTCCGATCATGTATTCTAACTCATGTTGAAGTTGCCGTTGCTTTGGGTTCTACTTCCAGATAAAAAGGCTTAGAAAATCTTGCAAAGCGGTTGGCTTGGTAACAAATTGTCTAACCACTTTTGTTTCTTGCTTTGTCTGACAGATAATCTCTGCATTTTCAGATCAATAACTCTGGTAAGTACAATCAATCAATCAATCAATCAATCACAGTGTACAGTGTTATGGCAACCAATAGCATTTGCAGTTATCGGAGATGGCCAAATTATAGTAAACTGTTTTCCTTTAAATCATACACTGTAAGTTCAAAATGCAGTCTTGCTGCAGTAACAGGCTGAAGATTAAACCAAAATTCTCATCTATGGCAATATGATAATCAATAGATTGTAATAATAATCTATTGTCTGCTTACGTAGCCACTCTCATCATCCGGCTCATCTTTGATGACTATGATGGGCCCTGGTGACAACCTTCTTCTCTTCTTGACAGCTGAGCCCACTGCTCCACTGGCCTGATGTGTTTCTGGAGGTTTCCAGGTAACAATGCTTGGGAGAAAATAATGAACCAATCAAAGTCAAATCAAAACTCACTGGAGAGACCAACAGCACAAAGGGACTGGGGTCTTATCAAAGCAGCACTGTTTTAGATTGTCAGAAGCTGTGCTTTTGTGTGTGAGCAGATGTGTTCTTACCCTGGTTTCTCCTCCTGGGAAACAGCAGCGTACCCTGGTGAATTCTGCTGTCCTTGCACTTGAGAGAAATATAAAAATCTGTTTTGATTTACAAAGAACACAGCAATACATACAGTCTGAACATGTAAACATGACAGATGGCACACACATACCATTTATGTGTTGAAAACATGGAGGCAAGCCCTGGGGATAGTTTGGTTTCAGCATGTACATCGCACCGCCTGAATCATTCCTCCTATTCAGATATGTAGGCTCAATCTAAACACATCATTGCATGTTGTTTAATGCACTGCAAGCATAATATATCTTTATTATTTATCCAGGTGTATCCCATTGAGATCATTGATCTTTTTTTCAAGGGAGATCAATATACTTAATGGATATATATGGATTCACTTGCCGTCTGATCTGATTGAGGTGAGCTGACGCCACTATTGATGGGCAGTGGTGTAATATGGGTGTAGAGAGGTGGAGAGGAGAAGACTTCCATGGGTTTGGGTTGGTAGCTGCTTCCCATCCCCCTCAGAGGCTATGAGACAGAGAAACAGAAAGATGGATTGACTCGTTGCAATCATTTTTATCCAACATTCCTGTCAGCGGCTGTAAGCATGTGATGATGGATCTGGAGAGGAAACAGTGCTCTTTCAATACCCTGTTGCTGCTGCGTGGGTTGACGCCCCCGGCAACCGCCAGAACAGAGAGGATTAAAGAGTAAACCAAACACTAGGAAGTTTGAGGCTGATTTTAGTTATTTTGTTGGTTTATTTAATAGTCGGTGCAGCTAATCTTTCTCAAAATGTATAAAAACATTTACTATTTATATAAAATATTTTAATTCACTGTGTCTAATGCAGTTTAGTTGGGATACACCTAGCAGGGGTGTACCGACTGATTTTAACACATGACACTACACTCAAATAACAAACCACATTAAATTACATATACTTCATTTAAAGGCCCGGAAAACCTATGCTTTTACTATTTGGTACACAATAATCAAAAATGTTCTGCCAAAGTCAGAACAGTTTTTGTTATCCGACATTTCGATACAAATCTGATAAATCTATATCTTATGACTCACCTTCTGGTTGTGAAATGTAGTCTTATACAAAAAAGCAGACTTCCTGTTTTCTTAAAGTAACTGACTTTAAAGTATCCTAAATCTCTCTTTAAGTTGTTTGCACAATAGTTAAGAGAAACAAATTAGCAAACCCAGAAAACAATCTAAAAAACGACTACTGTCTGCTTCAAGAAACACAATCATCATGAGTATCATTAATTATATGTGATTTGAAGTGAAACTAGCAAAACCCTGGAACGTTTCTTTACTACAGAGATTGTCAAAGAGTTCATCATGCAGCTATAACATCTTGTTCACATCAGTGTGACACAACGTACGTATGTGTGCACTTCACACAGCAATATCGTCCTGTGAATGAGCCTACACTTGAGAGCTGGAACCAAAACACCCTGTGGAGTAGACTAAACAACTTGGATGACGAGATACTATCAAGCGTTTCTGTCTTGGGTCCGCTCTCTGTCACATGTTGGCTGCTGTTGCACTGCAGATTTAACGGTTTGAACTTATAATTTTGAGTCATAAACTCGTTTTACGCTCAAATCCATCCATTTATCAAAGACTAAAATCCATCTTGACAAGGAGAGACATAAATTGCCAAAGATGGGAAGGCTGTCAGCTCTATTTAGGACAGAACCATCCAATGTCGGTGCTTGTTAAGAGGACTTGTCTGTCAAATGGACACACACACACACACACACACAGAGAATTCACACACTAACCTGGGGCGTAAACCCAGGGCTTTCAAAGTTGCTAGTTGGGCTGACGTGGTTGGGAGGGGGCACCATGAACCTGCGGCCTGGTTGGGGCATCATACTGTGGGAGGGGGCGGGGCCTCCTTGCAGGGGCCCAGGGATGGTTCGCTGAAGTCGGACACTCTGGTACCACGTCCAGGGTGGAGGAGGTGGTTGGGGCTGCCAGTTGGCCTGCGGGTTTAGCTTCTCCACCTGCATTTGGAGCTGAGCCAGAGTAGTATGGGGTGCTCCCAGGGCGAAGCTGTGGGGTGAGCCTGAGGGGCCCAGCGCAGGGTGGGGGAGCTGATGAGGGATACCCTGAAAACCGCCCAGCTGGTGGCCTGGTGCACTCTCCACCAGTAAAGAGCCTGAGGGAACATACACACCAAGACAGGATGAGCTTAACAAGCAGGGATACACATTACATAATACAGACAAAACTTCTGCAGAGAAATGTGGGAAAGAGAAAGTTTGGGCAGATGGTTTGTGAAACTGTGGAGGTTAATAAGAGGGAAACCATGTCATGCTGTAATGACACTTTTCTCACATAAGTTATTGATTATACTTTTAATCCGTTGAAAATGTTTTGGATTAAGTGTCATTACAACATATTGAAAAATGTCTTCAAATGGCTTGTTTTGACAAGCGTCAAAAGAGTCAAAACTTTTCATGTGGATTTTCTTTTGGCAGACTTTTATAATATAGCAATATTTTATTACAATTGTCAGGCTAGAGTTGAAACTGCTGCCGCTGAACAGCATTTGGGCCCTTTAAGCACATCGAGCCTTCATCCATAAGACATGGGGGAACCAACATATCAAGGGTAAGTTCTGTCACATGCATGCAGATATGAAAAGCCCCAAACATGGTATTGAAACAAGATTCAAATGGGATTTTTTGAAAATCAGTGTAACTATCGAGAGAGTATAATTATTTGATCATTGAGTTTTTAAAAGTAAAAAATAGATATGGAGCGTGCAACTTCTCTGTTGGGGGATTTTGAGGCGAGACAGGAGGATTACGGTTCATTGTCCGCAGCACTCCTATCTGACCCTGTCAATATGGCATCTCCTGTGTAATGTCTTGTGTATGTAATGCCCTGTGTATGTAACAATTTGCTGTCTTAGGAAGTCATCCTTGCATCCCCCCCCCTCCCCCGTTATGTCTTGTTTAGTTGCTTGTTGTTTTGTGGTTTTTTCTGTTATCTGGGGCAATGTCTGTGTGTATCTTATAACTGAAAAATAAAAATATATTCAAAAAAAAAAGTAAAAAATAGAGACTCTTAAATATCAGATTATCATAGCAAGGGGCATAGACCTGATTGAACTAGCACGAGCATCATGCTGTTTCTGCAATGTTTGCATATAAGCATGGTCATGCCTGTTTAATAACTAATTTTGTGGAACTGATCAGCATGGCCTTTATCTTGTAAAACTAGATTTTGAAAATGAGCCACTAGTAGGCCTACTTGTCAGTCATCTTAAGTAGAAGTTTAAAAAAATACTCATTCATAAAAAGGCCAAATAAAAACAGAGTCCAGACTAAACAAAACCCTTTTTCAGGGCTCTAGATTATCTTAATTTAGACAGATGTTTGTGTATGTCTTACCCAGATCTACATTTGAGGCCCAATAAGAGGATCGGTTCTGGAAGCGCACAGTACTCAGTGGTATAAACGAGGTACTACATTTTGCCCGCAGGAGATTTCCAATCTGAAACAGAATCTGCAACAGAAGGGAAGTTATTAATACTTTTCAGAGGAAGGCTCTTGTGCGTTAAAACAGGCATATGTTCCCACTTCATCACGTCACTCTACTAACCGGCTTTCAGAGCTGAGCTTTTTCATGCTGGGAAACTGTGGTGAGATATGGATGATCAGATAAACCTTACCAAACGTTTACAGTACAACAGGGCTGTGCCCCCATTTCTGGCTGTGGCCCATTTGGTGAAGTTGATGACATGATCCAGGTGTCTGGATAGATAGCCGATGTCCTCCTGTTGTTTTCGTAGGACACTCTCATGGTCCTTTGTTACAGCCTGGAAAACGTGAATAAGTGAACCTCTGCAGTGTTTAAACAGCTTGAGGGTATGAGCTCTTGGCCTTGGGGGGGAGACAGGTAACTGAGTTTGCAAGCAAGTAATGTTCCTTTAGAAAAAACACAGCAATCTTCAGCATGCAACATAGAAATAACAATGTTTTTTTATTCAAAAGCTTCTGTCTCACCTCAAGTTGATTAACTAGCATCTTGCCCTTCTTGTTTATCTCCAGAATCAAACTGCAGATAGATTTCTCTATTTCATTATGAACAGTCGCGCGGTTCTGATGAACCTGTCGGAGTCTGAAAAGCATACAAAAGTATTACAATTTTATAAATGAAACGGCACGTATTTCCACATTTGGTGAAATCTCATTATTACTGGAGGTATGCATGATAACAGTTATTTGTGGTAATGAGATCATGTGGAAGTTGCAACAGCAGTTCTATAAACTTTAAGTGCGTTCCTCTTAGTATACATTTTGCACACTTGACATATCTTGTGGTGTGGGGAAATACATACCCATTGTTTATGGAGTTGGATACCTCTTCAATCATTTTCTGTTTTTCCTGCAGCCGATGGGTCATGCTCTCCATGTGCTGTTTATGGTTTTTATAAGCATCTTCAAGGAACTGGTAACTACTCCAAAAAAAAAAACATTAAGTCAGTGGATTCAATAATATAAATAGCAATCGTTCTTAATGAGTGATAGTAACTAACACACTGACAGTCTTTTAGAGTGGATAAGTGATAGTGGTTTATTAAATATGGTAGTAATGTAAAAAACGAAATGTAAGAACCAAACATAATACATATTGTGTTATATTGTAATAGTGACTATACTTGTGGTCCTTGTGCTTGACCAGCTGGCAGTCACGACAGGTCAGCAGGTCGCAGGTCTCACAGAAGAGCTTCAGCGGCTCCTGCTTGTGGATCTCACAGAACACCGGCCTCTGAGTCGACCCCCCATGGACTTCTGGGAAACAATAGGAGGGCAGAGATCCTTTCATTTCATTCTGGGAACTATACAAGTCATTTATGGCCCTTAATAATAAGATTTGGGGTTATTAAGCAATGTGTTCCATTATGTCATTGAGTGGGAATGTGTTTAATTAGCTCTAATTACTTTCTTAACTGGGTAAAACAAAATGTCATCTATCTTTCAGGCCATTAAAAAAACGAGCAATGTTTGAGTTTTACCATCATTGCCTAATAGGCTCAAAGTGTATTTAAAGATAAGTAATGGTCCGTGTAAGAATGTAAAGTATTGTTTTTAAACTGCGTGCCAAACTCCGGAGGGTATTTAACGTTATGACATACTATAGGCCTATGCGTCATGTAAATGGTCTGTCCAGGAAGACGTTAGGTTCAATTTAGAAGCATTTTACCCCAAAAATATGTTACAATATTAAAGCACAAGATTATTTACTTTTTCATTTCTTATTTTAAAGTTACTTAAAAGTGGGGTAGGTAATTTTGGAGAAACCAGCTTGAGTGCGCTAAAATTTGAAAATACACAACCGGAACAAATCTGCCACTTCCTTACAGAGCCCCTCCTCCAACACACACGAACGTGCACATGATCAATGAGGGCACGAAATAAGTTTGTGCACAGATGGAAGGCTGACAGGCAGGTAGGCCATCCAGTTACTTTAGCTGGGATGATTGGTCTTGCTTTTTACAGTACTACGGCTTCCACAGATGACATTTTTTAATGGATTTTTTGTCAAAGCACTTCAGATATTCATTGCTATCGGGATGTTAAGAGCATTCCATGGAATATAACAAAAAGTGTATCTCGAGCCGGTTTCTCAAACTTACCTACTTAATTTTATTTTATCTTTAATTGTATTAACCTCGAATCTGTTTGAATCTGTGCTGTCCTGTTTTTCATTCTTACCCTGTTGCTTTTTGAACTAGTGAAATTTCCCCACAGGGATTAATAAAGGTTCATCTTACATTTTATCTTATATAGAGTGGCGAAGTCCCTCCCCTTCCGGTGGACCTCCATGGGACCTTATATCGGAAAAATAATGTATTGAAGTCAATGGGGAGACATTAGGATACGTCGGAGTACTACAAATGGAGGAGAAGGACATCGAGACATACTGTACACTTTACTGCTTGTGACTCCGCCGACCAAAACACCGCGCTTGACGCAAACTTATGGCAGACACGGTTGCGACACACCTCCGGGTGGTTTCCCAGTTATAAGTGGTATTCTGGTGTGGGTAGTCATGATCTTTCGTCTTCAAGCGTTAAATATGAAAAAGTCCGAGGAGGGGAGCCGAAATTATAGATTATTTGACGTCCACAAGGATGACTATACTCACCGAACCGCTTGCAGTGCGGGTCGGCATGAAGCGCGTAGTACATTCTCTAGCGAGGAGAATAACGGGGACGTTTTATATCTACTTTGATGAGGTAACTTCAGTTACCTCTCTTATTGCATAAAAAAACTACGGGCGCAAACTTACACACGGTACTTAATGTGTCTACAACAAACAGTTAGAAGTTTTTATGGTAAAGGTACATTTTTTAAGTTTTCAACAGAATTTTGACAACTTTACTATTACTTATACTTTTTATGCGTTGATCCTTTCTGATTTTTTAGGGTGCTCAGCGGCCATTCACGACAGTTATTGACTACATTATAAGGGAGGTCTATCCGATTTATGCGTAAATTGAATGAACATGAATGAATTGAATTTGTTCTACGGACACTGACGAAACATGGGTCCAAGCAATAGTATGGGTCATTAATCATCGAGAACGAGCAAGAGCTTCTCGTTGATTTTGTTTTGTGCTCTCACATAGGAACAATCGGTTACAATCGATCGACTGGTAATTGCCACTGTGTAATGTGAGCACAAGAGTGGCTTTGGAACATTTCGGACAGGCGTACGACCCGAGAATGCCTTGGCCTGATTGAGGGGAAAATCATACATAGAATGTCGAGAGTTGTACGGGTCTGAACACTCCTAGACAAAAAGTGGAGAAAAATTATGAAAAGCCGGAGTAAGACTTTCTTTCTCCACTTTACATGCGTTGCACTGCCCGGTAGACCACAGCCACTGCACACGTTCTGGTCTCAACATCAAGTAACTCGGCGAAGTAAGTTTCTTTACACCATTGAAGTGACAAAATGCTGTGTAAAATTAAAAAAAACTGAACGGTTTTATAGAAAATTAACTGTTTGTAGTATACACATTAAGACACGTGTTAAGTTTTGCCCTAGCTTTC